TGCAATCACCCAAACCAAATGATTTTGTTGTACCTTACTTTACTTGACAATGGATAAAACAACTATATAGATGCTTATGAATTCACACACATAAAAAATCCGTCAATACCTCCCTTGATATACATATGTATATACATATATGTATTACGCATTCATTGGGTATCCCTTTCACTACACGTGTCTTGGAAATATCACACTATTGCAAGGTAGCTGTGCACATGAAAAACAATTATTATAAAAATGTGTTTGCTGCAGCAAAAATATTTTGGTGACCCAAGCTGAGACTAGGCAAATGCATCAGCGCGCAAAGATGAGTCGATAGGACACCTGGTCACAAGTCAAGAGGTGCCAACATCAAGAATCCTTGATATATATTTTTTGAAAAAAAGAGAGAAACAAAAAACAAACAAAAAACACCAACACTACATCCACAACCCTCCACAGTCTACATATAAACATGCTGAATAACCCCAATTAATCAGCACACGGATCCAAACATATTTAATAAAGTATTCACCCAAGAAGCTTCTCTAAACTCCAATTTATCAAACCTTCTCCGGAGACCTGGCATCTGCCCCCATCCAACAGCCAGAACGAGGTAGCTCTTGGAAATAATGTGCATGACCTGATGCCATACATCATTAGGACCTCCTGTTGCCCCGAAGCCGCCAGGGATCTCGCTATGTCCTCCCATGAGTTCCTAGGCTGTTGTGAAGTCACAAGCCATGTATATTATTTTAAAAAGCAATTCGGCTTCCCCCCTCCTGTTATGTTATGTTCATTCAATTGTGCATATTCTAAGTGTTTGTTGCTTTGAAAACGGATCTAGAAATAAACAACACGAACAGAAATTCTTACGGATAATATTCAGGCATAAATTGGTAACCTCTATATATATATATATACATATAGCATATTGTAGTCCGTGCAACATGCCAAGCTTCTATATTGTATTGTTCCATGAACTTCTGCTGCACCTTCAAGAAGGATTAGGACATATGAACAGATGCTTGATCATGCATGACAATTCCACGAACAGATGCAGACAAGCCCAATTGTGCCCTGCGAGTACGGAACTCCTGGAATATTCACAAACACACGCTCACACATACACACTTAGAACATTGCATTTCGTGCATTTCTCTATGTATATACATACAACACCTTTGAGAGTAGAAAAGAGCCAGCAGCATAGCTATCGCTATTCAACCAATCCTCTGCTAGAAAGGACAGGTAGTTGACAAACGTTGTTTCGGACCAAACGTGGCTGTTGAGCTCTCGGTTCAGCTTGGAGCGCTTGTGCTCTGGCAATGATCCAACACGCACGGTGATGTAACCGCGCCCCATGTAACCATCCACAAAGCTAAGGGTTGTCACAGACCGTGGCAACCTCCAGCTCTCCACCATGCAGCTTGCGGCAGCACCCCCACTGACTTGGGGCGCCTTCATTGAAATCTTCTCCACCAAAGCGGTTGGGTCTTGTTCGGTGATGGGCAAGCAGAGAACCCTTTCCAAATTGTGTCGGATGATACGCATGGTCTTGGAGCTAGAGTGTGGATCCTGTCTTCCCAAGCTAGGTGTTGAGTTGCCTTTCTGCAGGATACGCTTGTGGAGTCTATAAACCAAATTCCACACCTGGTCGAAATTGGCAATGAGCCGTGGGTCACAATCAGCAGCCTTTGCCCTTGACTGTATGTAAGTTCATACCTGCTGGAGTGCTGGATGTTCATAGGCAAGGTGAATACCAGGCTTTTCATTGCATCGAGGGCGAATCCCGAAAGCATTGCGTAGCCGTTGGGCTTTTTTCCTAGATGATTACAGGAGTTGTTGCATCCAAACTACACTTAGAACATAGGTAGCGTGGGTAAAAAATAACAGGGACAAGAGTTATATTATGTTTTATAATTGTATTATATATATACACAGATTTGGCTTACACAAAATTCTTCGACACAGTACGAGTTTCAATACTGCTCCGTCTTTGTCCGTCACGAATATCGGTTGCAGCAGCTTGTCCGCTTCTTCAAAGAAAGATTCTAGGTGCTGGTCCAATTCATCTGGAGACATTTGGGCCAGCTTGGCATCATCCCTCTCTAGCAATTTCAATCCATGGTCCCGAACAAGCTTGTGCACCTCCCCAATGCATTCATTCCAGATTGAAATAGCAAACAGGATAGTGTTTTTGACAAAGTGCATGGTGACTTCTTCGCCAAGTCCAATTCTCTCTACGAGCATGCTCTCAATGGCCTCCTCCAGCGGTGGTGGGAGATGAGATCTTTTCTCTGTGTTGGTGTTTGATCCATACTTCAGCTTATTGATCTGCAAGATGCTTCGCAAAGAGTTCGGAAGTTCTTTATGTCGCTTGCAAAGCTGCGGTGCTGTCTTCACGAGCAAAGGCCAATGCTGGTCATGTCTCACCGTACCCCATTTGCTGGGGTATAGGCATCCTGGGAAGTAGCTTTTCATCTTGCGCTCGGCTAGAGCCCGAATGGGATTGGGATTACCAGCCTCTTTTGCCTCTTCCTACGCCATGAAGATTTGTTCCTTGTCCCAAATAGAGACCATAGGTTTCTTTCCTTTGCCGTGTTTGTTTCCCGGACCTTGGCCCTTTCTCCTCTTCTGCTGTTCCCACTTCACAAGAGATTGCTTGCTTTACAAGCGGCAACGTGGAGCAACTGGGGAATTCCTCTTGCAGATTTGGCCGTCTGCAGTGCGCTTGTTTCCCCTTGCCATGACTGTCTCAACTTTTGAAGATGGCATACTCTCAGCTGTACAAACTGCCAAGGACTGCATAGGTTTGCCATCTGGAACGGGTTCATTTGCTGTCAATTTTCTCCTGTTGACATTCTTTCCATGGCAAGAACGCTTGGACCTGGGTTGAGGAGTAGCTGCTTGCATTCGCATTTCTCTCCAAGTGTTACAGCAAACAAGGCTTGTTAAGAATGAAGCCTGAACAACCGTGCCAGTCATACCGTTGCCAGCATAATCTTGAGCCTTCCCGCTTTTCACCAGAGAATCAAAGGCATCCTTGTTCCCTGCATCACACCTGAAAATTGCTTACGCAGCCAGAAACTCCACAGGCTTCAGATATTTGCACAGCTGTGTGGAGTATATGGGGAGATTTGGTGTTACGCAGGTGGTCACCTCAACTGCTGATTCAACTCTTCGCGACTTCGAAATAAACATATCGACGAAGACATTGTTGCCGGCAAAGTCCTTCAGCATTTGATTTGCACAAAGAACGGTGAAGGTGCGTATACAAATATATATTATGAATTTTAATATATATCATATTACATATATATAATATATATTTACACACACACTGCTGATTTCTAGCATAATGAACTTTCAGGTTCTATGTCCACAACCCAACTAGGATACATATATAAAAGGAAGCAAGCAGGCGAGGTTCAGCTTGAGCCTGTGACAAAACAAGCTGGACCATCCCCTTCTCGCGTTCATTGCGGGGCTCTTCACGGGGCAGGTTTTGCAAGAAACACTCATCCATTGAGAAGCGGCAATGAGATTGGAGGTTCCTCAAAAATCCAGCAAAGTCCTTGCTGAAGGCATCTTCATCCTGCCCTGTGTTAACCCTGTGAGCACCCCCACACTCGGTTCCGGCGCTGGCGTGCGAGAAAGCTTTGGCTGTCAAGCAAGTTCCATACCTGAGCAGGTTTGATATGCACGCACTTAGAACATATAGCATCCATTGGCCTTCAAAACAAGCAAACGGCACTATATAGAGATGGACGACTAAATTGCAAAATGATATCGAAGAACATTGCAATTTTCTTTGATAACCTGGCACCCACCAGCCAAAAGCTCACTACACAAATGGAAGCGGTGGTCAACAAAAACGGTTGTACTCATATATATATATAAATATAAATAATAGGAACATATAGAATATATTTACAATACGCATCTAAGATGCCTTAGTGGCAGGTCGGATAACCTTGCCATCCACATTGTTGAATTCTTGCACAGCTTTGACGTTTTCGTACAGTGCAACGTTGGGAGTCAGGTTCTGTAGTGCCTGAAAAGCAGTGGTCCATCCTACGGCTAGATAACTATTGACCCCCTATGCCCTATGCTGGAAGTTGCAGGTGGATTTGGAAAAATTATCAAAGATGGATACTATACATAGAACATTCACACAAGAATCAATTTTGCAGTCGTGACATTGCTTTGAATGCATTGTGGTAGGTTGAAGCTGAAATTCCATTGTTTGTGCCCACTTGGTAGCAAGCAGCATGTCTGGCATTGTTCAATCTACCTTGGCTGTTTGGATGTTGTTTGTGCAAATTTTAATTACGCACCATGGACCGGTAGCGAGAGGTGAACATACAACATGATATATGCACACATATATATATACATATATATACATACATATCCAGTAAAAAAAGCAATTCTGTTCTTCAACAGCCC